AATAAAAATAAAGAAAATAAAATAAATAAAAATCTGATACGTAAATTAATATAAATAAATAACTATTAATAATAATAACTTGAAATAAAATAAATTAACATAAAAATAATGAAACAATTAAATTAAAATAAAGTAAGATAAAATTTAATATATAGTAGCACGAATTAAAGATAAATAAATTTATAATTTTTAATTACTAAAAAAATTTAATTATATAAATTTTGAAATGAAAAACAATGATAATAAAATTAAATATAAAATAAATACAATTAAACTAAAAATATTATAAGATAATAAAGTATAAAAATTGTAAAGTAAAATAATACAATAAATCAGATAAGTTATTATGTTATAATAAGTTAAAGTAAATAAAATAAATAAAAATCTAAATGGTAACTAAATATAAATTAAATAATAATAATAATAATAATAATAATAATAACATTGAAGTAAATTAAATTAACATAAAAATAATGTAACAATTAAATTAAAATAAAGTAAGATAAAATTTAATATAGTAACATTAACTAAAATTAAATAAATTTATAAGTTTATTTTTTTTTTTGGTACAATATAAGAGGCCGAAGCCTAAGCGAGCACTAAGACATCACACGACGTGGACGAGCCACCCCTAAATAAAAATAAAATAAAAATATTATAAGATAATAAAGTATAAAAATTGTAAAGTAAACTAATATAATAAATCAAATTAGTTATTAATAGATTAAAGTAAATAAAAATCATAAATTATTATAATATAATAAAAAAACACAATTTAGCAAATACGTGTATTATAATTTACTCTAACATACAATATCACTAAAAAAATTGAAATAAATTATAATTTTTTAGTAAATGATATATTTTTTTAAAAATAATTTAATTTTTAATTTATTTATTAAAATTTAACATAATTTGATTACATTATCTTAAGATAAACAAAATAAATAAAGTTTGTTAACTAAGATAATATAAAATGAACAATGCAATAAAATAATTTAAATTACAACAAATAATAAAATATACAAATAATCTAAATATAATTTAATAAATATTATTATTTTAACTTTGATTTTTAAATTTATTTATAATTTATTTTTATTATTTTGTTTTTGTTTAATATAATAAGTTATTTTCATAATTTCGTTTGGTTAATTTTATATAACTTAGTTCATTATATTTTAATTTATCATATATTTATATTTTAATAATTTAATTTAATATGATTTATATTACTTTTAAATTAAATTTCATTTATCCATATGTAATGCCTATGTATATTAAACTTTACCACATTTAACACTCAAGCTTGAGGGTTGTAGTGGTAGCTTGCTTTGCATGCTCATGTGAGGTCACATGTTCAAACCTGCGAGATAGCCCTCTTTTTTAAATTCAATTTCTCGCGATATATCCAATATATTGTGAGAAATTCAATTTATTGTAAATATATATAATATTGGAAGTGTATAACGGGATTTTTAACACCATTAACAAGAAACTGAAAAAAGGGAACGTTTGCATCGGTAAACACAAAGGGGTCTGGTGCAGTTTTTAAAATACAGTGGAGAAACGCGCACATTTCATTAAACACAGGGGAGTTTGGTGCAATTAACCTCAATAAACGACACAAACGAGATACACGGCCAACTTTCCTGGCCGGTGAAATAGAAAGTCTCAGGCCCATATATAGATTATAATAATATCCGACTCTAATATCCTATGAAGCCCACAGTTTTAGACAATTATCAATTTTTTTCTCTGCCCTTTTAACTGGGTTTTGCTAGGGTTTTGGTTTTCGAGCTGTCTTCTGGAGTCTTTAAGCACAAGAAATTATCCCGTCTTCAATGGATCAGTCACCGCTCAACAGCCCCGAGCTACAGCAATTTATCAATGTAACTAAGGCTTGCTACTTTTTATATATGTGCCCATCTCTTTATCTTTGTGTACTTTTTTTCCTCATTTGATTTTCTTCAGCTTTTGGATACGAAATTTGGGATTCAAGTTGCAAAATAAGTTCTTCCCATTAATTGATATAAAAAAAAATGTTCTTTTTTTTTTTCATGATCTGATATTTTTGTTTTGAATATGTGATGAAATTGATTAGGTTTTATAGAAGGCTTGTTTATTGGAATGAGAATATTCTGGGGAACTTTATTTGGCTCGGTTGAGAGCTTCTTAGAGTATGTGTATGTTCTAACCCCTCTCATCTAGTCCAAGAACCCGGCCCGGCCTTCTATTTGTAAGATAGATAAATGACGGGGCCGGGTCTCGATTCAGAAAGATTAAGGTCAATTGCATCTTTAGAAGTGAAGGGAAGTCATAGACAAAATAGAGGGTTAGAAATTCCCCATCTCAAAAAAACTGAATTTTTTCAGTAGTATGGGTCCGGATGACTAGCCCATGATCCCATCTAATTGTCGGTGGTAATTTTCCGGGGATATGGCCCTTTGATTTAGAATCTCTGTTTCTTTAGATGGTTCTTGTTTGTGAAGGTTATAGTCCAAGCATAGTCACTATACTTGGAATCGTGCATAACCAAGAGGAAACCATTCAATTTTCTCATATCTTGTTATTATCAACAATATTGTGTTTGAAAGGGCTGAAGGCTCGAATTAAATAGAGCAGTTCCATGCCCCTGCCGTGTACAAAATATTCGTTTGCAGCTTAACTGTCGCTGTTATTGGTTAAACAAATCGCCAGGCTCAACAGTGCTAGTGCATGAATATTATAGCACTTTTATGATTCACTGCATAGAAATTTGCAATGGATTGGCTCAATTGTTGTAAAATCTTTCTATTGCTAGGGATGGGTCCCCTGTTGTCATTGTGCATAACTGTAATTTTGTTCGAGAAAGTCTGCAAAAAGCATGTGATTGTTCTTTGTTTGTTTGAAATTTGGGAGCTCTTGAATCTTGATGGTCTTTTCTTGTGACACACTTTACATTTCCTGCTATGGCATCTTATGCAGCAAGAGCAGCAAAAGGCTATGGTGAACCAAATGATCGGAAAGCTAACGTCCACTTGCTGGGACAAATGCATAACGGGTACGCCGGGAAGCAAGTTCAGCTCGAGTGAAGCCACCTGTCTTACCAACTGTGCCCAGCGCTACTTGGATATGTCCCTTGTTGTCATGAAACGTCTTCAACAGTGAATTCCAACTCTCCTATTCTCTCTCTTTCTGTTTTGAGCCTCTAGAAAATTTACGAGTTATGATTATTCCCTGACATCAATTTTAACAATTGACTTCTATTATTAATGGAGTGCGTAAGTTTTGTTATTGTTCCGCTCATATGATTACGAAATATGCCCTTCTTTAGTGGTTTCGTTAAACAAGAGTACAAGTTAACCTTAATAATGCATATAACCATAGCTACTTTGTTAGGTTGAACCTGAAACGGTGTGTATTTTTTCATAATTGGAGAGAAGAGCCAAGTGAAGATTCATTTGGTTTGAGGGAGTTTTTGATTTTGCAGTGAGATAATTAAATGAGTTCTTCCTAACTTTGCTCAACCAAAAGGAAAGTAAAGAAAAGACCAAGGCAAGGCAATAATTTGTACAGAACGATTTTAGTTCATGCTTCAAGGGCTGAGAACGAGTTAACAAAAATATATATAAAAAATAGAGGTGGAAAAATAAGTTGATTTATTAATATATAGAAAAATAGAGGTGGAAAAATAAGTTGATTTGTTATTTAGAATGGTTGGATACTTAATATTAAATCTATAGAATAAAAAGAGTTTAAGGTTATATTAAGAGTTTTTTTTTTGCTTCAATCAAACAAATTAAACTTAGTTGATACTCCTCCTATTTTTAATAAGTGTCGTCTTGAAAAGTTAGTAATAAAGATTTATTTATTTTTTATTTTTTGTTAATAATATTCCTCATTAACGAAGATAGAGATAAATGTTTTTTAAGATGAATGTTTTAGTATATTACCAAAAGGCTTGATATCTAGCCATACAGGGCAACTAAACGCATTTGTAGAGTATTTTTGATACATCCACATGAAAAACTACTAGATAAAAGCACATTTCGAACTTGTAGCTGATAATTTCGAACTTGTAGTTGATAGTTTACAGATGATAGCTAAAAGTAGAGCATCTACAGTATGGAATAAAATTAGTTGATAAGTCGTCTAAAATTTCGATGGTATTTGTTATAAGCTACCTAAAGAAACTTATGAGTAAACATCAATTTTTTTTTTTTTAAAAAAAAAAATCGTTCTACTGAACCAATCTTAGCTAGGCATAACAAGCTTATAAGTTAATTGTGCTGAACAAAAACGTAGTCATTTTAGTATTCTCCAATTATATGGTATCTGAAAAGGTATATAGATTAACTATTAAGTTGATTAATTCATCATATCGAACAATAAAATGCACAATCGGCTAGGGCAAGTTCTTACTTAAGACTCAAGTTTTCATGTTTTCTTGCATTAACAACGATAAATAGAACACAGAGCACATAAAGCCCCCTAACCAATAACAATGATCAACCACCAGTCACCACCAAGGGTACAAATTCAAAACATGCAACCAAATCCATCCAACATAATATCATCACAAGACCCAACTACGCAAACATACCAAATCCAAGATCTACTTCATGTTTAAACACTAAACTATCAACAAGCTAGTTAGTTAGTTAACCAGTCGTACCGTATGGGTAATACGAGTAGTAGACGGGTGCACCGACTTGGGATACCCCAACCTGTGGCTGTGGCTGTGTGCTTGTTGACGTAGCATATGCAGCCGCGTAATAACTATCTGCATACATCACTGGCGGTGCAGTGTATTGAGTCGGCTGAACCGGGGGATTGGGATTGTAAGCAACTGCATTATCTTGGCCCCACAATGTCCGTGGCTGTGTGCTCGTTGATGGAGCATATGCAGCCGTGTAATAACTATCTGCATACATGACTGGCGGTGCAGTGTACTGAGTCGGCTGAGCCGGTGGGTTGGGATTGTACGCGACTGCACTATCTTGGTATTGTTGGGCTGCCTGCAAAGGTAAAGGCTGATATGGAGAGGGTATTACTTGTGGCTGCACGGCTGATGAAGTTGAGGTATAGAGAGATGGAGCTGCCGGGTTATATGAAGCCAAGTTTTCTTGATATACTGCTGATGGGTCTGCAGGCATGGGCGGGTGATGGTACTGCCTTTCAGAATGGGTGTACTGATGATTGTGAGGATCTGTCCCGTCTACAGTTGGGTGACTGTCGAAAAGCGGTAATTTGGAATCAGTCGAGGCCTTATGGACAATTTATATGAAATAAAATATTCCCCTGGTTTCTATCTATAGCCAAATTACAGAACTCTCGCCTCTTCACAATTTGCATTATCTCGACAAATAAACCCCTCTCACCCTTCCTCATAATGCAATATATCGAGGAGCAAATAAAAAAAAAAGAAAAAAAAAGTATGACCGGTTATTTGTAATTTTGGAAACATAAAAGAGAGGGATATATGATACTGTCAGAGAAGCACACTCTACTGTTTGGTACCTTCGAAGCACGTACGTCACTCAGAATCATCAAAATTGCTTTCTGTTTAGTTTTTAAGTTGAAAAACAAAAATCATAAGAGAACAGTTTTTGATACCGCATTTCCAAGCTCGTGGTCTGATTATCAGGAGGCCTCTCTTCTGTGGTCCTGTAACTGTAAAAGCAGTACTTGAAATTCAGCGAATGCCTCCCATTGATCAACAGGGAAAGAAGTACAAAGAATAAGGGTAAGTTAAAAAAACAAAAGGGAACAGGTTTTGTAGGATGATACCGCATTTCCAAGCTGGTGGCCTGATTATGAGGAGGAATCTCTTGTGGGTCCCTGTAGCTGCCAAAGCAGTACATAAAAATCAGTCAAATGTCTCCCCTTGATCGAAATAGGGAAGAAGTTATAAATCCGAAGAACGTTAGCTGACGAAAAAAAAAAGGGGAGAAATTTTTGTATGATGATACCGCATTTCCAAGCTGCTGATCTGATCATGAATAGGCCTCTCTTCTGGGGTCCTGTAACTACCAAAGCAGTGAAAATCATCCAAGTGTCTTCCATTGATCAAATAGGTAAAAAGATTTAAGAAGACGAGTGAAAAAGGTGAAAACTGAATATATTACGTTGATGCACCTGACCTGCAGCCCAAGTACACATATCTGATTTTGTTTGGAGAATAACATATCATAGTTCTATTGCCATTTAGAAGCCTAACCTAGTGATCTGTACAATTTTTATAGATACATGTGACCAAAACTTCTGAAAACATAGAAAGAATAGATCGAGTTGGGGATTGTATTCATATTCCTTAAAGGGTTTATGCAACGTAATTAAGCTTTAAATGGATCTTAGTTAATTTATCACCAATTCTATGTCTTATCTTATTGCCCTTCTCTGGAAAGTTTAATTGTGGTCAGGCCAGATGGCATATGTAGGACTACATATACATAATTGCTAGCAACAAATTTAATAAAGCTCTTTAAGTTTTCCCTCCATTTTCCATTTCTTTTGCATTAATTAAGCATTTATATTTTTTATTTATTTTATTATACAACAATTAGTTTATCTAATCAATTGGTCTTAATCAACAAAGATTGCAAAAAAAGCAATCAATATAAAGATTAATATGTAAGTTAATAGCTTATATCTATATCGTGCACTTATACTAATGGTTAAAGTTATAAAATATGATATGCTTATTATCTAACTTGTGATTTTAAACATTACATACACACATATAACAAATAGAATTTTATTTGTATATGTGCATGTGCACATGATCAAATACTAGTTAAGTTAGTTATGGATAGTTTGTGTTGATTCCTTTCATCTTTCAAGTAGTTGCATTTATT